CCCCCCCCTCTCCCCTGAGCTGACGTCCAAAGCGTTCTAGCACAGGCATGGTTTTGCAATTATATGCCTTGTAGGGGAAAATGCAGAAGATACAAGTAGCCTACCAGTAGACTGGAAAGAACCTCCCATTAATTAAATTATTCAGCTGACGGTAAACACATTGAAACATTCAGTGATTTTGAGAGATAGATGCATAAACATTAATTTATACCGTTGGCACTGAAATAGTGCAACAATTAATTTACTCTACTTTAAAACACCTACACGTAATAGTAACATTTCACGTAAATTTAAGATGCTAAAGAGTTTAAGAATAGCTAATAAGTTGAAAAAACTTTGTAAAAACCTTGACCAGAAAATATTTTTTGTAATACATGTAATCCATTCAATGAACAATAACAACACACAATAAACTGAACACGATGAAGAATTGACAGCATTGTACACAGAGCCTTGTGACTTTATGAGTTCGTCTCCACCACCGGCTACTGCCTAGCATAATAGACCTGTGACTAACACATAGCTACACAAACAGCCTTGTGCAGATGTAGATCTATATTTTTGTGTTCTAGTCTTTTCGCTTTGGGTGTCTCATGTTTTTAATAGAAGTTAATAAAGACGAATGCAAACGTAGCAGTGGTGTCAACGAAGCTAGCAGTAGCAGTGATGATACAAGTATTCTTCTAGACAAAGATGATTGAGACATTGACTGTATGGCTGTAATAATGGTGGTGAAGATGGTGATGGTGGTGATGGTGGCAGTTGTGGTGGTGATGATGATGATGATGATGATGATGATGATGATGATGATGATGATGATGATGATGATGATGATGATGATGATCATGATGATGATGGAACTTTTTTTTACAGTGTTATAGATATTGAATTACTCAAGTCTCCACCATTTTTGTTGTTGCTTTTTAAACAGTATCGTGCTCACAATAATGATAATGATGGAGATAATGAGGATGATGCTAATGCTGAAGCTGAAGATGATGAGATCATAAAATAATTCGTAGGGAAAATGGGAGGTTAACGATTATGATGCGTAAACGTGATAGAAGTCTTGTTTTTGTTTCTGACCTTTCATGATCATCCCCCAGGTTGTCACAAAACCGATCCTTCGTTTCCAGCTCTTTTCATAGAATGATCACATTCACAGATATTTCATTAGCTTTGTCCCAAACAAATATAGGATTTTATTATTTTTAAAAGGGGGTGGGGATGGGAGGGATCTTTGAAAGGACGACATTGTATGCCTTATTTGTGGTACAACGTCGCTGCTCTTCTAGACTTTGTTATAGGTAGTTGCCGACATCCATTTGTGGATCGATGAATTTCGACAATCAAACATCTTAAGAAAATCCAGTTTTTCCAAAGCCAGTAACGCTTCAAACTCAGCAAACAATGAGATGTTACTTGCAACCCGCACCCATGAAACGTAGGCCCTCTTTGTATCCTTAGCTCAGTTTGTATGATTCTCTAATAAGGGCATCTGGGATGATGATAAACTAAAAGTAAAAGTAAGACGTGATTACCAGAATGACGCACTCAGTGACCAAGTAGGCCAAGGAAGTATGAATGGGGTTCGAATTTGAGAAGAGTCTAAACTTTTCTCCTCCTTTATAGAATATTGCTCCTATCAGATTGTTCTCCTGGTTGCTGATTAAGGACCAAGGGTCCAATCATTGACATGACGTTCTTTGCGAAGAATGAGATAATTCAGATTAAAAAGAATTAAAATCTGATACTTAATCACAAAGTAAAAAAATTGCCTGATTTCCAAATTGCGACTTCAAAATTTAAGATTTCATAAATACTGAATACGACCTGATGTTTTTTCCGCTGAAAAAGCAGTCTGTGGCTAAATCATTTATCACAATTATTAATATAAAATCTTTGTCCTGGCAAAATGACGGTTTGGTTTTATCAAAGAAAAAGATTTACAAAAAGATCTTACTGCAACACTTTTTGTCCACGTAGGGGTAACTCTGACTCTAATGTTAACCTGCATTTTTTACCAGAGCCGTTATGCCGTTCAAAGCTGACGTGCTGTCTCTGATGTGTATTCTGTGCAGGGTAATAAGCTGGCATCAGTCTTGCCTTCTGCAGTTGCGGATGAGCCTGTTGAGATCCCGTGATAGAGTGCTCAAGTCCAGGAGAAAGATACCCAGGAAGATGCTGACCACAACAGCGACACCCAGGTAGCCCACAGCATGAGCAGACGTCCGGTCGTCCTTAGCGCTAATATAACGACGCCGGGTTGCTGATACACTACGTTTGTCCACTAACAGCTCCTGGGTGCAAGACAAAACGACCAAAAATATAACAAAAACAGGAAGGGGTGGATATAGAGCTTATTCGTGCTCGCCAACCACGAAAAAAATAATCTCAGCTCAGCCCTTTCGGGCATGGTTGAATTCCCCAGACAAAGAAAACATACAGCTGATAGAAACTATGATCATGATGTCAACAGTTCTGTGATACGTTTTTAGATTACTATAATCTAATTTAAGGAAAAAATGAAAGAGTAAATAGCAGAACGATACGGCTTATTTGCCAAATATTATGATAAGATAAGAGAGGCAACGGTATTTATCGTTGAAAACACCCTTGAACGAACTTGCAATTTAAAACGCTTGAGAAATCACCCGGATACTTTTCCTTTGATCACTATTTGTCAATATTGCATCCCATGGTTTAAGAATAGGCTCTATCATTATCATTGTTATAAGCATTGTTATTGCAGCTCAATCCCTAACACCCCCCTCCCCCACACTCACCCCTAAACAACATCATCATCATTATCATCATTAAAGGACGAAGACAGCACAAAAAGGAGAATCATTGCCAAGATTGGCCTGAAAATAATGTTTAAAGAAATCTAACCACAAAGACCATCGGATGGACTAATGTGCCCTCTACTAACGACTGCCTGATTCTCTGGTGGAAGCCTCGGAGTTCACCAATCTCTTCAAGGGCATTCGTTTTTCTTGTTTAAGTACATTGTGTGTGTTTAACGCCACTTGCAACGCAATTAGGTCATATAAGTGCCGAAAATTAGAGATGTTACAAAAGAGTAACATATGTACACAAAAAAGGAGGAGGAGAGAAAAGTATTATAGATATTTGATGGGTAAGAAGGAGCAAACTACACAAGAGCACCCGCCAACCACACCTACATTTATTTTTCCGTTTTCGTGAGAAACTTCTCACATTCTCCACTTCTTTGGGAACCTGACTGCATCAAGACTTCTATAAAAATGTAGACTCCTTAGAAAAAAAAAAAGAATCTAACAAGCTCAGTTAACAACAAATACATGTAGTAATATATTGATTCACCTTCTGAATGGAGGATACTTTTTCCTCGAGCTCCTGGGGGCTAAGAGATGTCAAGGAGGCGGCAGAAGATGGACACAGACAACTGCAAAGTTCGTCAGAGTTGGCGGAAGCTGACCCTTTGATGGACGCTGGTGCCGTACGATTTTGAGAAAAAAAAAGCAAAAACAATTCGTCGAAGTTTCAAAGCGCTAGGTCACTATTCATGCAATTCGAATACCAAGTGAGAATAACTTTTTTTCTCTTTTTTTTCTTATACATGTGTATGAGTCTGTCAGCAATATCGCTATTCAAGTAATATTCACTATTCACAGCACTTCTCATCTAGTGATTTTGAGCTAGGTCTCCCTCTTCCCAGCGCCATGGTGACAAAACGTTCTTGGAAAGAGGCGGCCGTGACATGAGAGGAGGGGCCCAAGGGGAATAATACACACACAAAAAAAGAGCCGAGCATTTGACTTGCATGTCTCCTAATACTCATTATGTGATGATGATGATGATGATGATGATGATGATGATGATGATGATGATGATGATGATGATGATGATGATGAGGGGTCCTTTCAAGGACAGATTAACAGTGGGAAGTGGAGTCTACCAGTATTAGGCCAGATCTTATTCCTATACCATCTCTCTAAATTTCTGTCTGTCGGATCCATCAGACCAATATGCTTGTCTTAAACTTACAAACAAGCAAAGAACAAATCGAAGTAGTCTTCAGTATGTAATTAAGAGATAAACCATTTATTTCAAGAAGGGCGTAACAGTGACCATAATGCATGTAGAATACAGATGTCGATTAAACAATGGTGTTGGCCAAAATTGCTCAATGTTATTATCACTGTTAATTCTGAGTTAGTTCAGTTTAAATCTTTGGAAGCCATGGTAAATAAATAACTCGGGTTAGAATTCCATTTGTATACTGTAGCCTTTAACGCATGGATGTAGAAAGTAAAAAAATAATACACAGAAATATGTTATGTGCGAACCATATAAAAATACGAAGTACACTTAAATTTTAAGTCCAATAAAATCAGCAGTTTGCTCTCCATCTCCAA